AGAAAGTAATTTTACAGGTACAACTTAATAAATATCCTTCTTGTAAAATTATAAATTACAATATATGATATATTGACGGAGTGCTACAAATTATCTGTAATCTTATTTGTTTACCTGGATAACCTAGATAACCTGAATATACCAGATAATCAAAAAATCTAACTGATGGTTAACCGAGGAAGTTTTTTTGAACAGGTCTAACCCTTAGATCGAATGTATGAAATTTTAGAGTAGAACAATTGGGTAGTAGAAAGTAGTGAAAAAGCTCTAAGATAGGAGTGAAACAGTTAGTAATATATTTCTATATAAAAAAAGCAAATAAAATGTGAATGAAACTCATCTTTTGGTAGTGCTCGGGAAGGATCAAATATAAGATTTTAGATTGTAATATTGTGAAAATAATAATATGGCAAAGCCAAAAAGGTAATAATTTAGAGTTTATGTATATAATAAATAAATATTAGTTAGATATAAAATTTATTTAGATAATACATTAAATATAAATAATGGGCTGCAAAATAATAAGAAGGGTTAACAATTTATAAAATAACAAAGTAACAAATGAACTATATATATACGTACCTTATTGTTATGTGGATTAAAATTAAATTAAAAATATTAGTAATCCATTACTATATAGTATGCAGAAACAAAAATTATAACAAAATACTTTACTTATTTTTTATATATTATATTAAACTGAATCATGCTTGAAATGCTTATATAAAAAATTTAAATAATAGAGCATTATTAATAATATATATTATAAATAATTCTTTAACTAGTTAATTTTGATTATTTAAATTTATAAAATATCTAATATTTGTATTAATATTTTAAGATGAAAATGATATATTTCAATCAATTAATCATTCTAATGAAGATGAAGAAATATATATTGATGATGATAATTTTTCAAATACGGAATTAGAAATTATAGATAAGAATAATGACAATAAATATTTAACAGAATCAGTTATGCATTATGTTTTTTATCCTCATGATTCTAAAACAATTGCAACTGTTTTAGAAAAAGTTATTAATGATTGGGGGTTAAATAATAAAGTTG